CAATCCCTTCGAGCTACGGGAAATTTGCGAAGCTGAGGTCTCTGTATCTTAATGGGAACTTGCTGGTGGGCCGGATTCCGGCCGAGCTGGGTTCCTTGCGCCTGCTCGAGCACGTGGAATTGGGGTACAATTCTTATTCCGGTGAAATTCCCCGACAACTCTTCAATTTGTCGAAGTTAAGTTATCTGGATTTATCGTTGGCGAATTTATCCGGTAATCTTCCGGATGAGATCGGCAGTGTGGAGAGCCTGCAATTCCTGTTGTTGTTCGATAATAAACTATCGGGCCCAATTCCAGCGAGCTGGGCCCGAATGGTCTCGTTGCAGGTTCTCGATTTGTCGAACAATAATCTCTCGGGTCAAATTCCAACTGGATTTTCAGAATTGAAGGAGGTCACCACACTGTCACTGATGAACAACGAGCTGACAGGCGAAATTCCAGAAGGAATTGGCCAGCTCCCAAATTTAGAAATACTGTACCTATGGAACAATTCACTTTCTGGGATTTTACCTCAGAGTTTAGGTTCCAATGCCAGGCTACAAAAGCTCGACGTCTCAACGAATTCTCTCTCCGGCCCCATCCCACCCGATCTCTGCCTCAGCAACAGCCTCGTCAAGCTTGTTCTCTTTTCGAATGAATTTTCTGGCCGAATCCCACCTTCAATAGCCAACTGCACGGCCCTTTACCGCGTGAGGATCGAAAATAATCAACTCAACGGGTCAATACCTTCTGGGTTTGGATCCTTGCCGAACCTCACCTTCTTTGAGCTGAGCAAGAACAGACTATCCGGTCCAATTCCGGACGACATTGGGCATGCCGAGAGGTTGCAGTTGCTCAACATATCCGAAAACACATTCCATTCCGAGCTGCCGGAGAACATATGGAAAGCCCCGAGCCTACAAATTTTCTCGGCAAGCTCGGCCAACCTCAATGGAAAAATCCCGGATTTCATTGGCTGCCGAAACTTCTACAAAATTGAGCTCGACGGGAACAATCTCACCGGTGGCATCCCATGGGACATTGGGCACTGTGTAAAGTTAATCACCCTAAACCTTCGCCGGAACTCTCTCACAGGAATCATCCCGTGGGAAATATCCACATTGCCCTCAATCACAGACATCGACCTCTCCCACAACTTCCTAACCGGAACCATCCCTTCGAGCTTCAGCAACTCCACCACCCTCGAGAGCTTCAACGTGTCCTACAACCAGCTGACGGGCCCAATCCCATCCTCAGGCCCGACATTCGCGGGCCTCCACCCATCCTCGTTCGCCGGCAACCAAGGCCTCTGTGGCTCATCCATAAAAATAGCCTGCCGAGCTGGGGTTTCCGGCGGGCCCTCGGCTGAGGCCATTGATGTCCACCACGGGCCCAAGAAGACTGCCGGTTCTATAGTCTGGATTATGGCAGCAGCCTTCGGAGTCGGGCTCTTTGTCTTGATCGCCGGTGGCCGATGCTTCCGGGCAAAGTACGGGCCGAATCTTCCGGGCTCGGGCCACCGGGAGGTTGGGCCTTGGCGGCTGACTGCCTTCCAGCGGCTCAACTTCACAGCGGATGACATCTTGAATTGTCTCGACTCGAGCGACAAGGTTCTTGGGATGGGGTCCACGGGGACGGTTTACAAGGCCGAGATGCCAGGTGGCGAGATCGTAGCCGTGAAGAGGCTGTGGGCCAAGAACAAGGAAAATATCCGGAGGCGGAGGAGTGGAGTTTTGGCTGAAGTCGATGTTTTGGGGAATGTGAGACACCGGAATATCGTGAGACTGTTGGGGTGTTGCAGTAATAATCAGTGCACGATGCTGTTGTACGAGTACATGCCTAACGGGAGCCTGGACGATCTTTTGCACGGGAAGAACAAAGCGGAGAATTTGGTGGCGGACTGGATGACGAGGTACAAGATTGCGTTAGGGGTCGCGCAGGGGATATGCTATCTTCACCATGACTGTGACCCGGTGATCGTGCACCGTGATCTGAAGCCGAGTAACATACTCTTGGATGCCGAGATGGAGGCGCGCGTGGCTGATTTCGGGGTCGCCAAGTTGATCGAGAGCGATGAGTCGATGTCTGTGATCGCCGGTTCGTACGGGTACATTGCACCAGGTACGGTTAATTTTTATTTATCAAATTTTATTTTACACATTAAATGGGCATATACATTATATTCACATGTGTGTTGGTTTGTTTAGTCCGTTCGTTGTGTAGGGTGACGAAAGTATAGTTGCTATTCACCTGCGTAGATAATGTGATATATGCTATTTGCTGCTTCCTTTATGCTGTTAGATCTGTGTAATATGTTTTTTGTCTTGTTGTGCCACTGGTTTTGTAATTAAAGTTTAAACCAAAAACCCATTTGATCCCTTTTTCTTCTAAATCACAAATATTCATGTTGGTTTGACTAAATGTTAAGTAGTGGGTCTTTGTTATAAATAATGCATAAACACCCTGTAACCGTCGGATCATCTATGTCTGACGGTTACATGATGATCTAATGGTTACAAACTGCGACGGACTGATCCCTTAACGGGACCTTAGCAAAAAAGCAAAAGCACAGGGGACATGATTCAAAACAGCACTCAAACTCAGTCCTCATGTGTGTGATAGATAATATTTATGGGCCTATTAGAAATAGAACCTTTTTTCAAATTCAAACAGGCAAATTGAATTGCATTTTTTTTGAGGTCGCCCCACAATTTGGAGTGATAATAAGAGTAAACAAGACTCGTGGTGGAGCAGAGCACATCCTATAAATCATTCCCTCTCTCTTTTCCCTTTCCTTTTCCTCTTTGCCGCCGTGATTTTCTACTGTTTGAGTGCATCCTCCACTATTGCGCATGACCTTTTTTTTTTTCTAGGTGTCCCTTTAATTTTTCACTTTTTCTTCATACATTTAGACCCCACCAAGATTGTCTCTAATTTGTTTCATCATTATCTAAACACTAAGTACATATGACCAAGTGTTTTAGCTTATTAGTGTTCATGATTACTTTCCTTGACTCATATTTGCTAACAATCTTGACTTTTCTTGATTCTTTTCCCTTACCTTTTTCCTTTATATTATTGGTTAGAATACGCTTATACTTTACAAGTGGACGAGAAGAGCGACATCTACAGCTACGGAGTCGTGCTGATGGAGATACTGACGGGAAAAAGATCCGTGGATGCGGAATTCGGGGATGGAAATAGCATAGTGGATTGGGTGAAGTCGAAGATGAAGGTGAAGAGTGATTTGATTGATGTGTTGGATAAGAATGCAGGCGCGTCTTGTGCTCCGGTGAGGGAGGAAATGATGCTCCTCCTCAGGGTCGCGTTGTTGTGCACGAGCCGTAACCCGGCCGAACGCCCCTCGATGAGAGATGTCGTGTCGATGTTGCACGAGGCCAAGCCCAAACGGAAGTTGGCCGGAGGTGATGGAGGATTAATGGGTTGTGGTGATGATAATGTGGTTGGGGATGGAGATTATCAAGATGTTAAAAAACCAACCATTGAATGTTGATATATATATGATTTTTTTTTATTTTTTTTTTGAGTTTATATTTTTTTTTTCCATTTTCATGCATGAGGGTGTCTTTTGGAATTAAGATTGTGGTTATTGGTATAGAAGAAGTTGTTTTTGTGTATCATTTTGATTTATGAGCTAGTCAAGCGTGATCTTTGTCATTGACAATGGGTTGATAAGAGTACTAGGATTTGTTATTCATGATTAAATGTTAATTAAATGAACAAGCCGTTCGTGAGATCATTTCGATTCGCCTTGGCTCATCTCGTTGGCTCAAGTTCGGTTCAGCTCATTTGAGAACGAGCCGAACTCGAGCTCACTTCAAGCTCGTTTTGTTAACAAGTTGGACTCGATTTGACTCGTTAAGGCTTAAAAAAAATTGTTACATCATTATCTGTAATTTGGCTTGTTAAAGGTCTAGATCAACTCGTTAAAATTCGAAACTCAGCTCGTTAAACGAAGTTGGGCTGTATATTTAGTTCTTTATCATACTCAAACCAAAAATATGTTACACAATGTAGTGTTGAACTTACAACGGGAACCTATGAACTGACTGAAGTGTTCAGTTCTTACAATTTGAACTAAAACAGAAACGAAAAATTACAAAATAGAAAGCGAAAATAGCCGAGGCGATTGCTCTTTCCGCAAGACGAAAACGCCCCGTATAGTGCTGACGGGTACAGGCGTCTCGTCCCCAAAGATACAACGGCTTACGTCTCGAACGCTGTAGCACACCAGAATTCGAGCTCCGACGAACTGGAATGAAGTCGAGAACAGAGCAGTATGATATGATGCGTGAGACTTTGAGAATATTCAGAGAGCATGAAATGTTGTGTGTATCTCACTTGCAGCTCTAAGTCCTATTTATAGGACTTCCACCTCTGAGGGATAACCAGGAGTCACAACGGCCACTTAAGGCTGAGATAAATGGCACCATTAACATCAAAACGTTTCAGGTGTTAAAATCCCATTAACCAGGAGGAGTTAACACCATAAACACCATTAACCCTTCATCACCTGAGCTGTTACATTTCACATGAAGAGTCATGTGTCCAGGTTCATTGTACTGAAGAGGTTTCACTTGGGTTGGGTCAAAACCCGAGTCCAAATCCAACTAGAATTGGATTTTTCAATTAGGCCTAAAGTTGCAAATAAATTTGCAGCAAAAAGATATATAGTGATTGGGCCCAAGCCCCAAGCCCAACCGCCCAAGGCCGCCCAAGTCCAGCCCAAAGTCCAATTGCCAAGAACCAAGGACCAAGGCCCAAGTCCCAAGTCCCGGGTCCCGGGTCCCGGGCCCGGGCCCGAGCATTA